GACTCCGCCCCGGCTGCGCCTCCCCTGTGGCTAGGTCGGCCTCCGGGGGCGGCGCCTCGCGGGGTGGCCCGCTCGGCGGGACGCGCTGACTCACGGCGTTCGCTTCCGTCGCGCCTGTGCGCACCCGGGGCCGGGGACTCAAACGACCGCTTTTGCTGTCTTTAAACAAACCAGTGGAGCCTACGGAAAGGCCCCCCGACACCTACACGGCGAAGTTCTCGCCCGTTTGTCGCGGAAATGCGGGTGGAAAAGCAACGAGGGTCTTTTTCTGCTCTGCGAGCGCCTGGGACCTCAGCCACCACGGCGCCGCTGTGCGACGGGGCAGCTGCAAGCGGACTTAGGCTTCTCCGGCGCTGCGTCCCACTGGGCGGTGCTCTGCGTTTCCGAGGAGGCGTCTGAGCTGAGGGTGGAAAAGAAATCCATCCGAGAGCCAAAAGACTGCGCACGTCGGAACCGGGAAGCTCCTAGGCCACCAGGCGAGGGCGCCCGCTGGCTCCCGCTCCCGGCTGCGCCCTGAGCGCGTGGGGCCGGAGAGCCACGTCCCGGGGCTCCACTGCGTCCCGCGAGCGGGGGCAGACGGAACACGTGGGCGCGCAGCGCGGGCCGGGGCAGGACGGGGCCGGGCGCGACATGGGGCCCGGTACTCTGAGGTGCGCGGGGGTTGAGGACTGAGAGCACGGTTCACGTGCGATCACAGATGTTGGGCCCACTACAAGGGATGAGGTGCCAGGAAACCTAGTACTGGGAAACCCCGGCGAGGCGCCCCGTACGGAAACTGTGGAGCGCCCTAGGTCGAGGCAGCAAGCGCTGGGGAGGCGGTGGCAGGAGAGGTGCGCGGGATGGAGGTGGACACACCCCTCCCAGTCCTTCCATTGTGCGCAGGATGGAACACCCCAGTCAGGGACCCAGGAGCCTACCGCAGTGCGACGAGGTGGGAGGGTGCTTTACCTCAAGCTCGCAGTGGGCGACGCCCAGGCGCGGGCGCGAACTGCGTGGCAACTGTGGCCCAGCACTAGCGCCACGGAGGTCCGCAAGCCGCCCTGCCTGCCTCACTGGGTGCTGCCTGCCTGTCAGAGGTGGGACAGGAGTCCGGGGGAGGAGCAGTGGGGTCTTGCTCAGTGACCCTGGTGGTACACAAGTGATGGATTTCAGCAGGACCGGCTCGGGGTGACTAGATGATGTCGGGACTGGAGACCTAGTGGACGCAGAGAGAAGGGTCTGAGGTACAGGGACATCTTATGGGGCTTGGACAAGGTCCTGTAAACGTAGGTTCAGGCTCAGAACTCAAGAAGCTTTGGAGACATAGTCATATAGAGTTGTGAAGCAGGCGCCCTAGGAGCTCAAGGAAGAGGCAGAGCCCTGGCGACAGTGGTACTTAAAGGGTCTCTGCGTCCTGTCACATTCCACGAGAAGGTTGAGATACACAGGGGCAGAGTCCAAGGAGAGTACCTTGGCCAGTTAGGAGAATAATAAACTTGCAGGTTAGGTAGTGTGTGGTTACCTAAGTGGAAACAGTTGTTATCTTGGTGGGGATGGCAGCGGGTCAAGTCTTCCTCAAGCGAAGAAGGGTAGAGGCTGTCCCACTGCCTAGCCTCAGAAGAGCTTTGCTTTCAGTCTTACTGGAAAAGAGCGGGTGGATGGCTGCAATGGTGATGGATCAAACTTCCTGCCAAACTGTCTGGACAGGTGAGTGTTTCCAAGAAGGCAGAATTCGGTTGGGAAAATGAAATTAACTTAGAATTTTAATGCACACTTCCCTTACAAAGAGAACCTGTAGACCTAGATATCCAGGTAGCTGGGACTCAGAAGAGGGCCGGCCCAGCAAGGGAGCAGGTTTCTCTCCAGAACTTAGCAGTGTGTATTCTTGGAGGCAACTTAAGAGCTGCAGAAAAAAAAAAAAAAAAATCAGAAATCCCAGGAAAAAAAAAAAAAAAAAAGAAATCCCAGGAAACTCCCACCCTTGGAGTGAAACGAAATCTTTTCTGTGAATAGAAATGAAAAGGGCAGCTGGAAATCATGACATGGTTGGGAACAAGGCTCCATTATATCCACACTCAGAATGCTCACAACAAAACGCCCACCAGCAGACCACAGGACTGAGGGTGGGAGACCCAGGGCAGTGATCTTCCCGAAGCTTTTTTCCGGAAGGTTCAGCTTCTCCTGTGTTCATTTATGAGCAGGTCCACTGGGCCAGGCTAGCGCTCTTGGTTCCTTCCTGGCTGAAGCCTCACTTCCTTCCTGCTCCTTTCCCCCTAAATCTTAATGCCACCAACACAGGGAAAGGATCTGCTACCAGTTACTCAGTTTACCAACTGGCAGATTATACTCATGAATGCTTCCTCTTCCAGCCATCTACACTGCCAAGCTTACTCACCCATGAATTTTGCAAATATGTGGCAACACACTATCCCAGATGCTTTGAACAAAAAGAAGACCAGCAGTGCCCGGGTGTTTAGGTTCTGTTGACTTGGGTGGTGTGCTTGCATTGGTTGCCCATCTAGCATTCATTCCCTCTGATTTTACTTTGGGAAGCACCCAAACAGAGCAGCCATAGAGACCAAATGGGGCTGACCCTGCCTTCAGCTTCAAAATAGGCCATCTCGGGCTGGGGATTTAGCTCAGAGGCAAAAGCGCCTGCCTGGCAAGCACAAGGTCGTGAGTTCGGTTCCCGGTACTGGAGAAAAAAAAAAAAAAAAAAAAAAACAAGGGGCTGGGGATTTAGCTCAGCGGCAAAGTGCCTGCCTGGCAAGAGCAAGGTCGTGAGTTCGGTTCCCGGTACTGGAGAAAAAAAAAAAAAAAAAAAAAAAAAAAAAAAAAAAAAAAATAGGCCATCTCCTGGCTCTTATTATATCAGATGGGCAAGTCCAAGCCATTATATGGTTTTTTCCTGCCTGCTGTTACCAGTTTAGGGATGGTCCAATCAAAGTAATGTTATAGACTCCATGTTTAAACATTTTTCTTTTGATATTAGCAAGGAAATAAGTAATTTCTTGGGCTGTTTGCATTCCTCTGCAACCTTTAAAGAAAGCTGTGGGGGAAGAGCAGAACTGAAAGAGCTAGAAAAAGAGAAATACAACCCTGATTAAACTAAACCTGAAGCCTGAACTACCACTTTTGTCAGTTATGTAACACAATAATCCTTTGCATCTATTTGAGATTAACTTTCTTATAACAGAAACATCTAACTGAAATAGCTTAAGACGTACATAAATGAAGATGGAATATACCAAATGCCAACTGGATGTGGGGGTGCAAGCCTATAGTCCTATCTGCTTAGGAGGCTAAGACAGAAGGATCATATGTTCAAGACCAGCCTAGGCAACTTAGCAAGGCCTTGACTCAAAATAAAAAATAAAGGCAGGTATGGTGGCTCATGCCTGTCATCCTAGCACTCTGAAAGGCCAAAGTGGTTACCATTCATGAAGTAAGATTACAATTTGTTCTCCTTTCTATCAGAATAAAGCACCCCAGTTTCCACCAGACACAGGGCTACCAGCAATAAAGAGTTCACTTCCCAGCTTCTCTTCGTGCTAAGTATGGCCATAAAATTAAGTTCTTCTGGCCAAAGAGATTAGGCAGAACACTGTGAAACTTCCAAGAAACGTGCTCTAACCAAAGGGCAGGCCTCCCTCCTCTGTGCTGGCAACACAGAGACCATGGCAGAAGGCCAAGCAGCTATTGTGGCAGGTGAAAGCCACAGACAGCGAATTTTTTTCTTTAAAGCTTTGGTCTGATTGGTCTGATGACGTTGAGACATTCCCTCCCCAGCCTGATCTGTTTAAGATATTTTGAGAGAGAAATGCTCTTGTACAATCCAGGAAGAAAATGCATTTTTTTCACACACAACTGAACTAAAGCCAGAATGATACACCAGTAACTCCATTTACAGAGGCAAAGCTTGCTCTGAGTGAGCACCAGTGTGAGCCAGAATTGAAACCCACTTCTGATTCAAGTGCAGTTTCTACTCCTTACCTAGATGGCTTTTAAAAACACAAAGAATTTGGTTAAGGGAAAAGGTAAAAGAGGAAATATCAGCGAAATTCAAAACCCAAGAGTAGCCGTGAAAAGGTGGGGGTGGGCAGGTAGCACTACTGGACAGAGACTTGCAGTCCTGGCTTTGAGGCTGTCGTGTGGGCAGTCCATGGTCACCCACCTGCTGGGAGTCCCTCAAGGGCAGCCTTTGCTGAGCTTGCATCCCAGGAGGATGGGTCTCTGACAAAGAGTAGCCTCTCTTTCACTCTGGTGTCTTTGTGCCTCCCTTCTGGGTTCTAGGCTTCTGGGTCCACCCAACTGTGGGGCTGAGTCAAGTAGCCACCAATCAGACATGGCATCAAGTTCTCTCTCCTGACCTCAGCCTCATGGTCTCTGTCATGCTGCTGTTTCAAGCAAGTCAGAAGGCTCCACATTGAACTAGCTATTATTTGTTGGAAGGGGAAGTGATCCCTTACAAAGTAATACCTTTTGAATTTCACTTACAGATAGGTGCATTCATTCTTTTTTTCATTTAAAAACTTTTTAAATAGGAAATTAAACATATACTTAAAACACAATATAATGTCAGACTCAAGATATCTTTTCTCTGTTTTGTTGTTATTTTGTTTTGGAGACAGTCTCTCTATGTAGTCCACTCTTCCCATGCAGGGAGTTCCATCTCAGGGAGAAGATACTGCCAGCAACCTCCTTCCTCTTCACTGAAATTTCTCTCTTCACTCTCTCCACAGGTTTCATTTCTCACTTCAGATCCTTCATGGGTCCAGGGGACCCATTTCCCTACTTCTTGTCTTCCTCTTGATGCTATATTCCAGTGTCTGGATGGCAACTCTCAGAGAGGCTCTTTCTCTGCTGCTTACCACTCTGCC